TTCGGAGTACAATGTTGTTTCAAAAAATTTCAATCTAACAGAGTGTTTGAGCAACGCAAACAAGACGCACAACATCTTTGAGGCTAAGGATTTGCATGATATCAAGCATCAGGTGAACAACATGTTTACGGAAATGATACTCTGTCTTCATATGTTAAAAGATCATTGTTATATTTATGTTGAAAGTATGATTACATAATTACGTAATTATTTAATAAGATATTTATATTTGATTTTTTTATTTTTTGTAAATAATCTCTTTAACACACATATTCATGTAAGTGATATTGGACGATTTTTATTATTTTCTCAAATTAATCTATATGATTCTGTTTAGCATGAAAATTACTATTTGGATTATCATTTTTTTCTTTATACATCTTAATTTTTGTCATGTTATGGAGTATGAATATACTGCTCATAATCGTACATATAATCTTACCGGATGTTTGATTAAGGCAAACGAGACGCATAATCTATACGGAAGCAAGGATTTGAATGATGTAAAACATCGATTTAACAGTATTTTATAAGAAATTATAATATGTGTAGACAAGTTTAAAAATGATTTAAAGATTGAATGTAGCGTTACATTTCCATGTTTTTTATTTTAAAATTTGTAAATTTTTATTAAGAAATTGTTTAAAAAGTTGCTAATTGATTCTCTAAAAAAGCCTAAGATCAGGGTTATGATTATGATATACATCAAGATTAAAATGTTGTGCTTGGTAAACAAGGCTCATTTTCACAATTATATAATTCAGATAAACAAATTAGTCCAAATTTAGTTGTGCTGTACCATTCCAAATTTATATAGATTTTGCTGAGTCAGCATTCGAGGATATCAAAACCATATTTTAATTAATATAAATTTGGAAATTTCATACTCCTGTATGATCAGGAGCATCATTTGATTTTGAAACAAGGATCATTTTGATCGATCAAATATTGGTTCAATTGTGATCACATCCCAAATTTTTATAGGTTCAAGACACGATCTGTTATTTAGGAATTTCCATAGTCATGTGTGTGTGATCAGGAGCAGGAGTACCGGTTTTTAGTTTCAGAAATCATAAGATAATCCACAAATAAGGAATTGTGATTGCATCCCAAATTTTTATAGGTTCAAGACATTTGCTAGTTCTGTTTAGGAATTTTCATAGTCATGCTCCTGTTTCAGGTATTCAGAGATGTATCCGTTATCTGATCTACATGTGGTAAATAACGTGTTATTTCTGGTTTCACATGTAGTCATATGCAACCAAATATGCTCATCCAATCCTTTCATTCAGCCTTGTTTGGAACAACAAACAATATCCATATGCGGTCTTATTCTATTTCGTCTGATTCTAGGTATAAGATCAGCTTGGTTTGCAGCTTCAGTCTCAATTTTTCGCAAATTTTTCACAAAAATTTTTCAACTTTCACAGATTTCCAAAAACTTCTTTTTGATTTACATGTTCTTTCTTCTTTTTTTGATATATATACTTTTATCAATCGACATAACCATATCATATCTCTTGCAACGTACTCCATCTGGCCGATTTGCTCCAAATCAAGAGGAGCACTATCCTGAATTTTTGCCTTC